CAAGAAAGTTCATCTTTTAAAAATAAAGATAAGTTATTATAGACATAATAAAACATTAAAATCTATCTAATTGTTGTGATATTTGTATTAAAAGCTTAAAAAATTATAAAAAATATATATTTTAAAGTACTTCATGTAATATCCAACTTGTGTATGCTGATTTCATTACAATAAGATATGATTACTATATTTAAAAGTGTCTTAGGAGCTTAGGATCTTCTCAAGCGATACCACACCTAGGAAATGAGCTCTAGTAGCGACGATGTTCTCATTTCTCAATTTCTATAACTTCACTTTATATAGAACGATTGATTTAACAGTATCTTGATCATACACGATATCCTTTGACCAGTATTTAAATATTTGCTTCAAAATCTGTTAAGGTCATTTGGAAATAGCTGTAGCCCTTTTATAAAACGAATGAACATTCATGTGAATTTAAAACATAAAGCTACGATATAGTTTAATTGGAAACATAACAAAGACAACTAAGGAAATGCTAGTTTAATAGATGTAAAAATGCATGGTGTGACTCTAACTTTGATGCTATTGTTAAACTTTTTTAATCCGAATGAAATTCTAGCATGTATAAATTAACTCAACTTGGTCATTTAACATTTAATAATTAATGTTACCATAAAACAAACCAAACAGCTCCTCTAATAATCATGCTTTCTTTTTCTAGTACACTACATTAAACAATAGTACTATAAACGGATCATATCTTAATTGGATGAAGGAAGGTGCAAGAAAATAATTAATTTTCTCACAAGTTAGATGACAACTCAATTTATGTGCTGGTTTCTTGCAGAGACTAGGTAAAGTACAGTTAATTATTTAACCTGTCAAACCAAATTACAATGGCATGTATGCATAAAAGTCAAGAGTCTCTATACTTTTAAATTAAATATTTGAAGAGGTTCACATGTCACCCAAACAACTAACTAAGATGTGAATTATGTCAACGTTACATGTTTGATCTATCTTCTAATAATTGTTGGGAACGAAGAGCAGGTATTTATATGATGTTTACGCCTTAAAATACTATTTCTTAAAATAAGCATATTTGCAATGTATAATTGTCAAATTTAAAATGACAGTGATGTTCTTGTAGCAAAAGAAAAATAATATCGATGTATGCACTATGATGTCACAAGATGTTATTGCAATAAAAGGTGTATATATAGTTTCATAAGGGTGATAATGGGTTAAGTTTGACTTGGTGACCTGATTAACTTGATCAATTGATTTAAAAAGCATAGATTTTGTAGGGTAATTAGATTGATTTATACGTAAAATATGAACTAATTCAACTATTATGACTATCAAATTTTTAAAATATTTTAATCTACAACAATATTATTTTAATTATTCTTTTAAAACTTGAATACAAAACAACATCTTTTGGGTATAAATTGTTTGATAGAAAATATTAGCTAACTTGACAGTGTTGAAATGAAGTAAACTCAGATTGATGAAAGAAAATCTCTCAATCAAAATTTGATTAAATATTTACTTTGTTCATTTGTGTTTTTATTCAAAAACCACCTAACCTAACCCATCCCAATTAGTACTGTGACTAACAAATGAAGGATTGACCTCAATTCTAATCCAATTTCATCAACTGGTCAGGAGTTAGTTAATTAAGTTTATGTGCCTTTTACTTCGTTTTTATAGTGTCTTCCTTTTACCTCAACCGTTACCACAAAGAAATTGGAGAAGGAACAAGATATGGAGTTAGCTCGTTACTGTTATTATTATTATTATTATTATTATTATTATTATTAACTTGGAATCTTTAGTTTTGATTTTCACAAATAAAGGGAGCATCATATGTTAGATATGTACAATAGAAAATCTTATGCTTAGATATACATTTATTAATTTTAACTATAAAGAATTTTGGAAAGTTATATATACAAATGAAATTTAATCACGTGACAGTATTTTTCCTTTATATAATTTAGGTATGTACAAAAAATAAATCTAACTAACTAGAAAACTAATTAATTCTACCCAACTATCAATATTTACAATCTAAACAATATTGTATTTAGTAAAAAAAATATTACATAAAATTTACATTAATATTAATTATATATAACACATAATTGAACTTTTTCTAATTAATGAAAGAATAAATTTATAATAATTAATAATACATTAAAACATGAATGAATATTAATATAAATAACATTAATTTAAAATAGTCTTTATTATACCACGTCAATTCAAAATAAAGTATTTCTTTGTATTAAAAAGATTTTCTTAGTTACCCTAGAGTCGAATATTAAAGAAAAAATGCATATTTTTCCATAAATCTAGTACGAGTGTTACAAAAAAACTTTTTAAATAATTAAAGAATTCATTATTAATACATATTTTATCTCCTCTAAATAAAAGAATTTAATACTCTATTTTATATGTGAAGTAATCATTAATATTTTATAAATTTTAAGATAATAAATAAATCACATTACAACTGGTGATATAAAGAGAGTATATAATATTTTTTTAAGTCTACAAAACTGTAGCGAATACCTTTTTTTATATAATGCTTTTTATAAACCCTAAAACTATTCATTAGCTTGATGCATTTTTTTAAAAAATAATTTCTTTGCGGTCACTGAAAATGTTGTTTAACAAAACTTACGTGTATAAGTATTTTTACTATTTTTAATTAAATTTATACTTTAACTATTTTTATACTGAAAATGAATACAAGTAAATTTTTAATTTAATTAAAAATAATATTAAAAATACCTCTAATATTAAGATATCATGTTCTTTACCAGAAGTTTAAATTAATTTCCTCATCACACTCTTCTATATACATTTTAACTAGACGATTTCAATGAAATAAATATATAGTTTTATTAAAAATAGTAGTTTAAGAAATTTAAAATAAAATTATAAATGCTTAACAAAAAAGTAAAATAAAATAATAAAAATTATGAGAGAAATATATTAATAATAGTTTTTTTACTAATAACGATTTGTTTTTACTCTTATTTCTTTTACAAAGCATTAATTAGGATTTGCCATAAGCATATAATGATATAAATGCAATTCCTGAATTTGGGTTTTCTCTTCAAAACAACCATATGCTACCATTAATTACCATTACAACAGCAACAAGTTTTTCCATTTTCAGGGACCACTCGTTCACAACTGCAACGCATTCAATCATCGCTATAAACACAAATAAAATAACTAATGAATATCCCATGCAATGTGTGAATATGTGTACATTAAGTAAATTTTAAAATATAAAACAAATATACATAACTGTTTCAAATAAAATAAATAAATATTATAATCTTTTTATGGACAATAATAGATGTTCAAATTAAAGGAAAAAAGAAAGTTAAAAAAAATATGAAAAGAAGTATTTTAAAAGTATACTTAAATTCAGAATTAATACAATTTAATGTCAAAAGTTAAGAATTATTAAATGTGACATTTGAATAAAAATTTAATATAAAATAAATTTAAAATAATTAATAATTTAAAATTATAAAAGTGCTGACTAATGATGAGAGTTAAGAATATTCCAGATTTAATTTAGATAAGATTTTAAACAAAAAGATCATTTGAATTTTTTATAAAAATTAATTGCATTTTAGTTTGAACTAATTTAAATATAAAATAATAATAATTAATTCGTTAAGAACACTATATGGCATGATTCTTAAAATATATTATCAAATTCAATCCAATTTCTTTTTTTATAATTTAAATCAAATCAATTTATTTGATATTTTTACAATGAACAAATATTAACTAAACTTAAAAAGAATTTCTTTTTTTAAAAGAGAAGAAGGTTATAAAAAATTCACAAAGTTCGGAGGACAAAAAAAGGTATCATTGGGCCATACACATTCAATTTATATATGAAAATTGAACCAAAAAAAGAAGTATATATGACAAGATATTTTTTCCCCTAAAATTCATACTTGTGTATGATAAAAGGATGGCCACAATAAATAGAGAAAAATAAAAAAGACGACAATTTTGACAAGTCATGCTATATAATGTATAGTAAGAGGATATCAACTTGATTTGGTTTAATTTTATATATGAGAAATTAAAATCAAATCAAATCAAATAAATAATTATTTTCTTCATTTGTTAATTATTTTATTTAACAATTTGATCGATTTGCATTTTTTTTTATCATTTAATAGTTTAAATTATTTAACTCGATTTATGAACAGCTTTAAAAATATAAGGTATTCTCTTATTAAAAAAAACATATTTACAATATAAAAAAAAATAACAATGTTACTTTTAGTCTTTTTTTTTTATTTGTTTATTTCAAACAAATATTTTTATTTATGTATTATTTTAAAATATAAGGCAGCATTAATTATTATCTTCAACACTTCTCCTTTGATTATGCATTTATATTTATTCATTTTTTAAATATTGTATACACATATTATAAATTAAAAAAATATAATAATAAAGGTCAAATTCTAGTGTTTAAAATAAATCTAATAATACAAATAATAATTATAGTATTAACAAAAAAATGATTATTATAATAACTTTTTTATTTTATACTTATATTTTAAAACGGATTTAAACACCATTGAGACCAGTCAGTAAAGAACAAGTATATAACATACTTTTCTTAAAAATTATAGTAAAAATATTATGAATATAATCAAAATACATTTAAACTATATCTAATTATAAATTATCGTATCATTAAAAATAATTAACTTTGATATTAATCACCAACAAAAGTCATCGTATTTATAGTAATCTTTAATTAATTATTAAGATAAAAAAATTTAAACTAATAATTTATAAAAATTAAACTCTTTATTAAAAATATTATACATTATACTTTCCTTAATAAGAATAATAATAACATTTATTTTCTCACGACACTTTCTATCTTTGGTTCTCTTCTCTCAGTTTACTCATTTTCTTCTTCAAACTCGTAACCATTTCCCTGTCTCAATGAAGAAGAAGAAACCAACTTCTTCCCAATGACACCCTTCACTCTCTCATTCTCTTTTGCCGCACTTTTCATATTAACCACCGTCAACGCCCTTGGCTCCGCCGCCACCACCGCCGTCACATACGGCACCGCCACCGTCTGCGGCGTTGTCGCCGGCGAGACAAATCACCACATCCAATGCTACCAAAACGGAAAACTCGTCCCCCTCACCCTTCCCAACGTTTCCTTTCAGGCGATCTCGGGTGGCCGGAGCTTCTTCTGCGGCATCCGGTCCGGCGGGTACAGCCTCCACTGTTGGGACACGAATGAACAAAACACATCGTTTTGTCCGAAAAGGTTGTTTCACAGTGACACGGTGCAGTTAACGGATGTAACCGTTGGTGATGCTCAGGTTTGTGCTAGAGAGGTGCAATCTGGTGTGGTGAGGTGTTGGAGAGGAAATGGTGGGGTGGTGTTTCCTTCACCTGGGGAAGGGTTAAGGTTTGGTAGCATCACTTCTGGGTGTGGTTTTTCATGTGGAGTGTTGAGGGAAAATGGAAAAGTTTTGTGTTGGGGTGATGAGGGTGCAAATGGGAATGGAAATGGTGGTGAGATTCAAAGAAAGTTTGAGAATTTGGGTATGTCTAGTTTGGTTGCTGGTGTGTCTCATGTGTGTGGTTTGACTCTTAATGGGGTTTTGGTTTGTAATGGGAACAATGGTTCTGGTCAACTTGGTGGTGGTGATTTTGGTTCTGCTATGGAGTTTTCAGGTTTTGCTTTAGGAGCTGATTTTACTTGTGGTATTAGGCGCAATAATGGGTTTGTTGTGTGTTGGGGTGGGTTTGATAGTGATGTGGTAAAGGGTGTTTCTTTTGAGTCAATTGTTGCTGGGTTGGATTTTGTTTGTGGGTTGACTACTAGGAATTTGTCTGTGCTTTGTTGGGGTCCTGGTTGGGGTGTTAAGCTTCATTTGCCTAATGAGGTTCCATTGGGAATGGTTCTTCCAGGTCCATGTGTTGAGGGTGGTTGTGGTTCTTGTGGTACATATCCTGATTCTGATGTTCTATGTCATGGCTCTGGGAGTATTTGCTATTCTTGTCAGACTCAGGTTCCACTTGCTGTGCCATTGTTGCCTCAATCACCACAAGTTCCAATTCAAGAATCTTATTCTTCAGGTGAAGGGAAAGACTTGAGGGAATTGTTGGCATTTTTTATTGTTGGATCAGTTGGGGCTTTTGCTGGTTTGTGTACTATTTTTTATTTGCTTTGGATTGGAGGTAGGAGATTCTTGAGGACTAAAGTTGATAATTCTGTGCAACCTACAAGCTCAGAATCTGATGCCTATGTGGATATAGTTCCCATGCCTAATTTTGGTTCCAATGGAACAACATTCAGATCTTTTTCTAGCAAAAGGCAAAGCTCAGGGAGATTGAGGAGACATAGGAGTGCTTCATCATCAAAGCATGTGGATAGGACTGAGAGTTTCTCATTGTGTGAACTCGCAATAGCCACCAGCAACTTCTCAGTGGAGAATAAGATAGGTGCTGGAAGCTTTGGGAGTGTTTACAAAGGGAAGTTAGCAGATGGTCGTGAAGTGGCCATAAAGAGAGGAGATACAAGCACCAAGAAGAAGAAATTTCAGGAGAAAGAAATTGCATTTGATTCTGAATTGGCATTGTTGTCCCGGCTCCACCACAAGCATTTGGTGAGGCTAATTGGGTTCTGTGAGGAGAATGATGAGAGGCTTTTGGTTTATGAGTACATGAGCAATGGATCACTCTATGACCATTTGCATGACAAGAATAACATTGAGAAAAGTAGTAGTATTTTGAATTCTTGGAAGATGAGAATCAAAATTGCATTGGATGCTGCTAGAGGGATTGAGTACATTCACAACTATGCAGTGCCACCCATTATTCACAGGGATATAAAGTCCTCAAATATACTTTTAGATTCAAATTGGAATGCTAGAGTTTCTGATTTTGGATTGTCATTAATTTGGCCTGAAACTGAGCAAGAATTGATGTCTACCAAAGCAGTTGGCACTGTTGGATACATAGATCCTGAGTACTATGTGTTGAATGTGCTAACCACAAAAAGTGATGTTTATGGTTTAGGAGTGGTGATGTTGGAGCTTCTAACAGGAAAAAGAGCAGTGTTCAAAACTGAAGAAGGGTCGAGTCCTATTGGGGTGGTGGAATACACAGGGCCAAAGATAGCATCAGGAGAGCTTTGGAGTGTGTTGGATTATAGAGTTGGACAACCAGAAGTGAATGAGGTTGAGTCTATTGAGATCATGGCTTACACTGCCATGCATTGTGTGAATTTGGAGGGAAAAGAGAGGCCTGACATGACTGACATAGTTGCTAACTTGGAGAGGGCATTGGCTTTTATTGAGGGCAGCCCTGGTAGCCTCTCTATAGCTTCATTCTCAGCACCTCTTGAATGAAAAATTTTCCTCTAATATATTCATGAAATTCTTTTATTTATTTATTTTTCTCACTTCAATTTCCTCTTTCTTTTTGTAAAACTATTCTTTGTTTTATACATGTATGCACTTTAGGTGAACATAAAAGACTTGCCCATCTGAGATTTCGGAGATGCAATAAAATTAATTTTGAACCTAATTAAGTACATGAAATGATTTGGACCATACATTTTTTTTTATTAAAATGTATGTTTTGTGTTAAAAAGTTCAACAGTTGTTTTTCTAATTAAAAACAAACAACCCCTTAAGCAAATAGAAAAGTGAATGGTTAGTAATTGATTACATGAATTGGCCTTAATGTCATGGTGACTGTGTAGTCCAAAGTGTTATGCAAGAAATAATGAGGTAGGTGTCACTTCAGTTGTGGGACTAATTGAGTGAGGCCAGCTTATTTGTTTCTTCTGAAACCGCCCAAAACTAAGTAGTCATTTGGATTGGGTAACAAATTTGAATAAATTAATTAAGTTAATAATTTCCTAATAATTTTTTTCCATAATTTAATTGCTAACCTAAGGGGCATGGGGCATGCAGATTTAATTAGTGCTAAGCTAAGTCATAAGCTTCCAAATTTGAGATCATGACCACGTTGTGAGTTAATTAATTTAAGGCCATTTTCAACGGCAGCAGCGGCCTTCATGCTTACACGCTACAGATGATGATCTGTCTTAGATGTTTGTAAATGGATTTGTATCTCTGCCATTTCTTTGGCTCATATTAAAGTTTCATAATCTACGCTCTTTTTTCTTTATATGAAATTGATTTTGACAATTCTTTCTTGGATTTTCAAATTTGGCTTCTCATACTTCAATTTTATAGTCATATTGTATCTTCTTTCTCAATAATTCATTTGTTCTTTATATATGTTGTAACATGCGTCTTCAAATTTCATACTAAATCAAACTCAAATTAACATCATCATTTCAAATAACTATTCAAACAAAAGATATTAATCAAAATTTTTCAATCAGTCAGCATTAAATAAAATCTGATATTTGTATTTCATCATTCAGTTAATTTTCTATTAAAAACTTTTCAAATGCTTTATTTATAAGTTTTACACAAGATGAATCTTGATGGGCAATTGACATTATACCTAAAATTAATAATTGGAATTTGATTTGGATATTTTTTTTCCGGATAAAAGAAAGTATACGTCAAAAATTAAACAGCAAATAAGTTAAGTTGCTCGTTGAATTCTCATAGCTTATTTTCACAATAGACTCAGGTCAGACAGCTTATTTACTATAATAAATGAGGTTAAAATTTTTCTTAAAAGTTTACTCACTTACAAAATTCAAGCTCTACGAAGTTAAATCGTTATTATTATAATATTTTGATATTATATAACTTGTTAATCAATTTTGAAAGCTACTTCTTATATTTTCATGTCACATTTGATTGTTATCAAGTTATTTAGAACTGTCAATATGGGGTTGTAACCCACAGTCCATCTTTTACGGTATCTTTGTTGTTGTTAAGTCCTATAATTAGTGAACTTACAAAAGATGGATTAAGATCAAGATTAGAGGTGAATCAACTCATATTTTTTACAAATAATTCATAACTATTTTACTATTTATTTTATTAAAACACAAATGTGTTTTTTTATTAAATTATTTTCAAGATTAGTAAAAATTTATATTAAATTAAATTATTTCACTTTTAAAAAAATTTATCAAATTAAGATTAGATAAAATTTAAATTTGTAAACATTTATTTTTGTCAAATTTGCAAGTTACTTATTTGCATCTATGAATTTAGTGCAATTACTTTTTTTAACATATTAAATTTTATTTAAATTATCATTTTAAGTATTTTAATAATAATAAATGACTTAATAAATTTAACTAACGTTAGTTTTTATTTTTAACTTTATGTCTTTGTTGTGACTTTAGAAATATTTATTAAATATATAATATTCTTAAACTAATTATATAAAAATAAATAATATAAAATATTAAAATATAAAAAAATTTATAATTAATATTTAAATAAAATTATAGATAAAATTATACTTTTTGTCCCTTAGTTTTGGAATGAAATTCACTTTCATTCTCTAACTTTTTTTTTAATTTTCATCCTCGAAGTATTATTTTTTTGCCCACGTTAGTTCTCTCCATTAACTCTATTACATAACTTAACATAAATATCTTACGTGACACGAAAATGACATTAATGGTATTTATTTAATCCAACCTAAATTTTTTAATTTAAAAAATAATTAAAAATAGTGAAGTGGAGCTGATTTATAACTTCTCTTTTCCTTCATCTCCCAGTAACCCCTTTCTCTTTCCAGTTGTCATCCTCCCCTCCTACAATTTCTTTCTCTTCCCTGCAACTTCCCCTCTCCCTCCTTGCAGGCCCTCTCCCTTCTCTTCCTTTCTCTTCCTGTTCCATCACCCCTTTCTCCTCAACCCAGGAGTCCTATTTTCCTCGCAGCCTTGTCTCCTCCTTCCTGCAGTTCCCTTCCCTTTCCTCCTCCGCAGCTCCCCACCTTTTTTTCCAACCCATCAACATTGTCTCCTCCTTCTCATAGTCTCCCTCCCCTTCCCTTCTTCCTCCGCAATTTCTTCCACCCCTTCCTACAACTTACTAACCTTGTCTCCTCCTTCCCGCATCCCCCTTCTCCTCGTCTTCCTTACTGCCAACACTGTTTACGACGAAAAAAATACTTATCTTACACTTGCAGCCTTGTCTCCCTCATACCCAATTATTAATTATAAATTTGATTTAAAAAATACTTTATTATGCTCCTTCTTTCTTTGAGTTTAAAGCTGCAATTTTTTACTCAATTGCTTATTGGGTTATTTCATATTTACATCAAAGTCCAAATTCATTACTTTTTATGTATAATTCTTTAATTTTTTATAAAATATGAATCTCTCGTTATTTTGTTGTTTATTTGTGTTGCTGTTAATGATTAACTTGCGAAAAAAAATATGGAGACTGTGGGAGGGGAAAACAAGGTTAGTAGGATAGAGGGAAGAGATGAAGAAACTGCGAGAAAGGAGAGAAATAGCTATAAGGAAAAATAGAAGTTGCGAGAGGGAGAAATAAAGTTGGTGAATTGGGAAAAAAGTGTCTAAGCTCTAAGAAAGGAGTGGGAAAGCTGTGAGAAGGGGAAAATGGACTGTAAGAGAGGGAGGTAAGGCTGGTGGGTTAGGAATTTAGGAAGAAAGAAGTTGAAGGGATGTGAGAAGATGAAGAAAGAGAGAGAAAGTTGCAATTTTTTTAATTACTTTTTAAATAAAAAAATGCATGTATGATTAAACAAACAACATCAAGACACTTCAGTGCTAAGTAAGACATTTCTACTAGGTTATTTAACATAGTTAACGAAAAGGACTAATGTAGAAACAAAACAATACTTCGAAGACAAAAATGAATAAAAAAAAAAGTTAGAGGACGAAAGTGAATTTTACTATAAAGTTAAGAGATGAAAGTGTAATTTTGCATAAAATTATATTAAATAAAAACTTATTATAATTTGATAATTATTAATAATACAAACAAAAATTAAATAAATATGTAACTTAATTTAATATTATTTAATAATAAAAATTCATTCTAAATATTTAATATTATACAAATTTAATTATTTTTTTATTTTTTAATAATTTTATTTATTTATAATTATAAAAATATTATATAAAATAAATATTTTTAATAAAATAATTTTTTAAAATCAATTGACCTGTAAGTTAGTTTTAACCTATTTAATTTTATAAACTTTTTAACTTTATGAAATTTTTATGTAGTAATTTGTTTACTCTTGTGAGCTTTATGATTCTAATCCACATAAAACAAGACTAAATTAGTTAGAACTCATTCATTTAACAACTCTATTATCAATTTAGAAATAGGTTAGACTTCTAAAAAAAGTTAATTTAAACTTAAAAAAAAAGTATTTAAAATAAAAAAGTACAACATTCAATATTTATAATTATTTTGTGATATAGGTTTTTAAGTCTATGTAAAATAAACAACTAAATGATTCAATATTTGTAATTCTTTTGTTATAAACTATCATTGTTGCTTTCTTACTTCTCATTGATTTTAAAACTATTAGTTGCTAGAACTATGAAGATATGTTGAGCACACATTAACTTTTTATTCATGCTTTTATTCAATATTTTATTTTTAATTCACTAAATTCTGTTCTTAATTCTTACAAATGCATCAACTTGTACGAACAAGAGTGTAAAAAATGAATTAATCTTCTTTCATAAACTAGAAATAACTTATATGCTCAAAGTCTAAGAAAGTTAAATAAAAAACATTGTAAAAAATAAAACAACATATATTAATTTTATATTAATTATGAACAAAATTTTATTTTTTTTATATTAATTTTTTTATAAGGACTATTTAAAAGTTTATCTAAATTTAGCCTTAATCTTAATAACACAAACCATGGTAGTTGAGATTAGATGCTTGGACCTATTGAGGTCATAGCGTTGAGTAAGTAATCTCAAGACAAGAGTCACATTAGTGTGAGTTTCGTGTTTAAATGTCCATGAATTCCCATTTATTTCAATGTTATTAGTTATATCTTGTAGGTTCGATTCAAGTTTGTAGGTCTTTTAAATATATTTGACAAAGATTACCGTTGGTTAAGATGAATAAATGTGCCACGAAACAGCTAGTGGACTCGAAAGTGTTGTAATTTTAGTGCTCCTTGCTTGGTCTCGTAAACTTTTCCACCATGATTCCTTTAAGTTGTGAACGGCCTAAACGTTGATTTTACGCTCCTTTCCTTGTTTGATATATTACTTGGTAGATTAGGAGATGCTGATACAACTTAACATATGATATTTATACAAACTTCCATTATCTTGGTCATTCAAACCATTTCTATAATGGCATGCCTTCAATAAGCTATAGTATTTTAATTTGAAAAGGCATCAATATAGGTAGGTCAAAAACTTTGGGGTGATTCCATTTTAGTGGTTTCCAAGAAAATTCTACAGCGAAATTCACTAGAGTCGCCATGTTTCAAGAATTTTGTTCCTAACAGAAACTTCAACATACATACAATGCGTATCATATTCTCGCTCTTTTAGCAGTAAAGTTTGGTATGATCGAAATGGAATTCAAATGAAAAGCAAGAACATTCAAAATTGAAATCATAGTAGACCACTCGGATAGTGGCTTCTTGTTGTGAACCCCAAAGATGTTAGAGTGGGATAGCAAAAAGTAGGATAAATAATTCATAATAAATATTATAAAGTTTAGTAATTTTTATTAAAAATTTAATGCAATTCAATGCATTTATACTATTAAATGTTACAATTTTTAATATTCTATACAACTTATTGTACTATACAATATTGTACAGAGTTAAAAAAATCATGACACAATCACTATCAATCAATCTAGGAGTAATAAGAAACAGAAATGGAGGTAAAAAATGAAAGACGGTGGTGAAATTAATAGAAAAAGAGCAGAACATGTTGCATAAACTATCTAAACTGGGAAGTCTGAAGAAAAAAGAAAGAACCAAACACACAAAAAAGAAAAAAAATAGACCTTTAATACGGAAAGAATGGAGGCATAAAACACAGAAAACTTATGTGAAATATATTCACAGAGGAAGAAAATAATTATATAACATAAAAAAAAGAAGCTAATTAATGTTGTTTCAAGGATAAAAGTAGATTTTGGCCACTATTGCAAGTTGCAAGTTGCAACCACATTGAACAGTTTCACCGTTTGAATTCTTATAGAAGTCCAAGGCTGCTTTGCCATAGGTTGCGTTTGGATGGGTGTATTTTGAGAGAAAGGAATTAAAAGAGAGAGAATTAAGGGGAAGAATTAGATTTTTTTAAAAAAATCTTTACTAAAAATATTAGGAAAAAAACTATAATTTAAAAATGTTAATTTTTTTGATAAATTAATACTTTTGTGATTATTATAATTCTTATAATATAATTTTTTTCAACTTTCATTTTTACCCATTTAAATAACACATTTTTAATTTTATTTTTTACTTTATTTCTCACCTATTTTCTTCCCATTATTTATTTTTTCTCATTCAACATCCAAACATTTCATGTATTGACGACTACTTTGATTGAAACACGAATAAACCTCCAGACTACCCCGATTATTTTATTAATTACTCCAAACACATATCTTACAAAAGTGATAAATGTGCTACGCCATATGGTATAACAGAAAGTGCTACAGGGATATGAAGGATGTCAAAGAAGTAGTGACGATATTTATTTTATAAAAGAATGACCGGGAAAAAGTGAAATGAAAATCACTGTGGTGTTTGGTGTTAAATGATAAATGATGATGGCCTGTAACTAAAGCTAAACCGTATAAATGATAACCTAAAAAAGGTACTATAAATTTACAATATTCAATAACATGTACTTTTTCTTTTGATACCGGCAATAACACACTTTAGTATACCCCTCCAGTTCACTCTGATTTCATGTTCATTGATGTTCCACATCCTTTGATCAGTATTTTTGTGAAGTAAATTGTAACTTGTAAGTGATATCACTCTAGGCTGGTTTGAGATTGCAGGGACGGTTTTGAGAAGGGGATGCAAATGACTTGCTGAGGAATATCCTCTGTTTGTCATCAGCAAAGCAAAGCACGGATTCTGGACAAACTTCCAAGGCAGTTGATGGTGGAGTAGGCTTGAAGTCTTGAAGTTTTGAGTATTCTGAAATAAGGTGGAACATGTAATCATAAATTCGATCCATGTTCAAGCTTTCCATGAAATCCTGCCCTCTTTTACCAATAGCCTCAGCCTGTAGCAACACAAAAGAAACTATTATAAATAATCAAATTCATTGGGATCATTACTTGCATGATTCATGTCATGGCATCTTGTATGTATAATTTCCAGCACCAATTTTTGTTACCATTAGTTCATGAGTGTTCTGTGGTCAAATGTCATTTCTAATAACCATGTTCTTTTTCTGATGTGCCAATGGCAATTGATCTCAACCTCTATGTGCTAATGTTTCCTTTGACAGATTTGTTATACTTGACAACATCTGGATTTCAATTGTAGTTTCTTTTATAAGTGCCAGAGAATCCTGAATATGAGTAGATTTTCACAATAAACACAAAAGTATATGAGGGGGAAATAACTCTTTTTTTTGAAAAAAAAAAAAAAGAGAGTTAGACTTACAGAAAAGGTATATCTCTACAATGCTCGTCATGGATCAAAACTAAATGACAGGAACATACATCAGTGAGTAAAGAAATACCTCATCTGGGTGTTGGTTTCCCCATTGTACAGCATGCTTTATAGATGGACATAGATCGAAAGGATCAACAGGCCAGAAGTTTTGGTTTGGAATAAGGCCACGGCTGAAAAAATCTTCATACTGGGGTGATATAATTAGAGCAACAGAACCACATGAGATAATATATTTCAAACTCACAGACCATGCATACCCTTCAGCATATATCTTATACCTGCAGGAAGAAGACATTAAGAAAATGAGAAAACGTTCCAATCATTAAAAACGTGACTTCTCAAAAAACGGAACTTAAAGACATAACCAAATGACATCTCAATTCTGTGTAAATTAACTTTTTAATTTGATTTTCTATGCACTGTCAGGCATTGTTATAAAGAAGAAACTTTAGCTCTAAATAATGTGCAATATTAACTGTTCAAAAAATACATTTATATATTGTGTGCACTGTGACTCAATTAATCATATTTTGCTGCTTCTCAAGGGAAACTGATAGCATTAACTTCTGTGTGAATCTAACATGAAAATATGAATATAATCATAGTACTCACCGGTAATTACATTGGTCTGAGAGTTTTGACTGCTTAAAGCCACTTCTAGCTGCTTCTCCCCAATCCTGCAATGCATTTGGTATATAAAGCACATTGAAATCACCAAAACGTTATTAAGGTTCAACCTGCATAAGTTAATTCAACCCAACCTGACGCATAATTTGTGCTCCCCACTTCCTAGAGTGATTACAATTTAGCAATTCAGTACGAATAGGAGATGCAACATCTGGGTTTCCTTTCCAATATGCTCGGGGTAACTTCTTTTTCCAACTAACAGCTTGAGAACCTTGCTTGATATCTGGAAACTCTTCCTGCCAGGATCGTATATTTATCTCTGGCCTGAGCAACGAATGTTCAAAAGATAGGTAAATTACATCAAAATAAATATGTCAAAAACCAAAACTATCTACCAACTAACATGCTCTTATCACTACACCATTAAAATATCAACATAATTTATGTAAATTGGTCGTATAGTAAGTTTTGGTAACTGCAATATTCTTTTAGATATTTTTTATTCAAATCAATAGCAGATCTACCTTTCTTTTCTCACTTTACACTCCTGCTGTTCAATTTAAAAGAGCCAAATATATTTTCATTTTCAAAAGTGATCTAAAAAATTGACAAAGGAAAAGAGATTATTTTCTTTATCACAACTACTTCTTTCACTAACATTTTTTTTTTAAATATCCTTAAAATGCACAAATAAGATATGTTTACTCAAAAACATTTAAAGTAAAAAAAAAAACACAATATGTACTTAAATTAAGGGTGAATATAGGTCCATCAAAGATGAGCAGACTTTATTCACGTAAGTCCTAATCCTTTCACAACATTCCAGAAAAAAAAATTGTCTTTTAGAAAAACACGCATAAGTAACAATATACTTTCATCTCCTCAAACTTTAAAGGATAAAAGAGGCCATGCACATTTAAATTAAAGGTGAACATTCTTTTACCAACCACAGATACCCATTATACAATAAACAAATGGACAACAAAAGTAAAGGCATTGGAATGAATAAAAATTTTAAAAGGTGACATTTTGGCACAAACCCAGATAAAGTCTTACCAACCCCAGAAAGACCAATCAGGAAAAGGGATATCAAAGTGTTCCTTTGTGGTGCAATACCGAAACAGTGGCAAAGGCATTGATTGATGTTCTGTCCTATTAACAGTGGGCTTATCCATGCAATCAAACATCAAATCGACATCAGGAACCATCCCAGGATACCTCCTCAGAAGCTGCAACAACCCCCAAACAGTGAACATTGCTCTACTCTGCACACATGCATAGTACCAATCCACAAACACCTTCCCTTCAACAATCACCACTCTAAACGCCGCGTACCTCTTCGCCGCCGCCACATGCGCCTTCGAAATCCGTGTCACCGCCCAAGGCTCCAGGTCCTTCCGGATCGCCCCGAAAAATTCCGGGCATTCCTCCCGGCCACTTTCTCCGGCGGCGGATCTCCGCCGTTCTCCGCCGGGAGCGGCTCCGTAACGGCATGTTAGGTAGGAGCATTGGATAATTTTATAGGTGCGCTTCTGGCGAGTCTCTTCGTCGAAGGGTTTGTGAGGGAAAACGTGCCATGGCGTTGGTTCTAGGTTGTGACCCACCACGGTTCCGGTACGCGAAACGACGTCGTCTACCTGTTCGATGAAATTACCCAGAGAAAAAAAAGGTGAATGAGAGAGTGAAAAGAGTGGATAAAATGGAATTAGAGAGGGAAATAGGAAGTGGGCAGGGAAGAAAAAATCATGGGGTGTGTGAAAAAGAGGACCTTGTAGAGGAGGAGTGCTGTGAGGGAGAAGAAAGAGAGAGCGAGAACGCAGGGTAAGAGGTATGAGGGGGAACGAGGAGTGTGCTTTGATGTGTGTCCCATGGCAGAAGAGGAAGTGGGAACGGTGAAGAAGAAGAAGAAGAATTATTATTTTGGTGCATTGTGATCTTGAGTGGTGCAGTTTGTTGTGCAAAAAGGGAAGTCCTATTTTGGAAACAAGAAACTCTTTTCCGTTATTTTTAAAATTTTAATTTTCTCAACCTTCTCGTGGTGGGGAAGGGTCCTACCTTTTATAAGAATTTAATTCAATTTTCATTTAATAAGAATCGTTTTTATAACAATGTTGTGGTGTGTGTAACAGAAAGGTGTAACAACGTTTTCTGTGCTTAAGTTCTGAAAGGTGTTCATTAATTTAAAGAATTAGATGTAAAAATTTTGTATCTGATAATACTGTTAAAAAACATAACTTTAAGATATTAATTAATAAGCCTTTGTATTAAAGAAATAATACATTTTTAAAAAACAAAATCTTATCAATTAATTATAAGTCTTAATAATCAAAATTAATAAAAAGAAGTTAATATAATTACATCATATTATTTAATAATGTAATAAAATTCAAAGTGGTCTTTCACTATCATGCCATTACCACTCACAGCATTATGTGAAGAAATGCAACAATAGGCAGGTGTGGAGGGCACGTGGGTGAAAAGTGGAGATTATTACGGGGATGATGAGAAATGATGGCTTTGTTTTGTCTGGTGCTAACATGATTGCCTGACAGAGAAAAAGCAGAGCCACTCTCGATTTGGAAATTATGCAAACACATGGTCGACAAGACTTGCCGCACCGAAACTCCGGTTCGCTAATTTTGCACGTCTCACACTTTTATGCCATTTTTTGAAATGCTCTTCTTGTTTGTTATCGTGCATTCAAACTGACTTACAGTGAAAATTGGTTTTTTTTTTTTTGTCGTGAGTGAAATTAGATTATCAAAACAATGATGATTAACTAAAGATCATAAAAGATCGTTTGTCCTTTGATAACAAAAAATAGCAATTATTCATTAAAAAAATCATAACAAAAGTTATAAATAAGAGTTAGATGATATTTGACTTTATTTATTTATTTTTAAATTCAGTCAGATACTATTTTTAAAAAATACTAATAAATATCTTTAAATAAAAACTAAATCATTTTATTAAAAACATAAAAACAAACTTAAAATATGTTTGTTTTCCTTTTCAAAAATTATTTTAAAAAAATAATCATATTCTTATTTCTACAATTTTTAACGTGTGATTTTGGATTTCGATTAATGTAACTGTGTTAGTTTTATTATTTTATTCAGATTTAATAAAATTATTTTAAAAAATAACTGTGATCTAAAAAAAATAAAATTATTATTTATTAATTTTAATTCATATCTATAAAACACTTATTTAAAAAAGTTATTTATTTTGAACGAAGGAAAAGTTGTTAACAAAGTAACTTTAAAAAAGTGAGTTTGAGGAGTTTGGGCTTCGTTACTAGCTTTTTGTGGGCCTCCCTCTAATGGCTACCATTTTCACAGGGAAATCAAAATAACTAAGAAATCAGAGTAACTGCAAAGAAAGTTCGGGAAAAGTGATTCAGATGAAAAACAAGGATTGAGATTGATTATGCCATCCAAACAACTTTTAGATTTTATTTTTTTAAACTCATTTTTGTTTTAACTTTAAACTTACAAAACGAAAAAAAGGGATTAAATGTCACCTTAAATCTTGGATAAAGTTATTTCACTTAATAAAACTATTTTTAATTAAAAAAAATAACTATTGCTAAATCTGGCCCAACTAAGTACTTAAAACTTTAAAACTCTAAACTTATGAATAAAAAAGCATAAAAATCATATTAATTATTAAAATAAAAATTTATTGATTAGTATATAAATAATATTAAGAGTATATATAATAATTAATTAAAATATTTAATAGATACAACTTTTAAATTAATTATTTTAAACAATAATAATAATAATTATCTAATTCATGATAAAATAATAATATAAAAAAATAAAAAGGAGTGTATTTCAATTAAATTTTAAAAAATTTCATCATCTTGTTGTAACATATTTTTCATACCCAACATGGTTAACAAATTTCCTATTTCATTATATAAGATCAACATACAAGAATCAAAATTTATGAGCATATTAAACTGGTTAATTAATTAAGAGTAATCATGCTTTCCAAATCATTACTAGAAAGCAAGTAAAACATAAGAGTGATGGAGAGTAACTAAAAGTATATTTATTAATTGCGGAACAGAGAAAAAAAAAACTAAAAAGTTGCCTTTGTTGACTTTTTAGAAGAAGAAAAAATAGAAAATATAACCCACATCTTAGAATTAACTGAAAAGTTAAAGCAAGTCTAAAATACATAATTCTAATGAATGAGAAAAAAGTGTGAAAAAAGGACAAAAACCTCAACATGAACTAAGCAACAAGCCAAAATGATATTAGCACAGTGATGCAAGATTAGAAATGAACATCATCCCACATGGCAGTCATTGATGGATTTGTGTTTGAAATGTTGATCCAATAAGAAATGGTGGTTATTTGTTGGTGGTGTTGATGGTTGTGTTGGATGTCATGATGTGTACCTTCATGGTAATTGGCTTCTTCTGGTTGCAATGGTGAAGTAGATAGAGAATAAGAGGAAGATGGGTTCTGAGGGGGTGCAACCAAAGAGCAGGAAGAAGCTACAGATACATGAGAGTTAAGACATGATTCTTATTCCATTCTTCAAATTGATTCCAAAGAAAGATGAAAACCGAAAAAGAATAATAATGAAATATATAATTATTTGAATTTCTCTTCTGGTAAGCAACATGAAAACGAAGCATGATACTTGGTGGTAAAAAATAAATTCTCTGAACATCATGGAATGATTGAATTGAATTCATTGGAATTGCAAAATGCAATTGTTGATATGTTGCTATTATCTTAAAACACACAGAAAATGGGAAGTATAAAATGTAGAGTTTATCTGACTCTCTACTTTCTGTATTAGCGTCCTAGCATTAAAGACTGAGCCTGACTTTGTGTTGCTCTTACTTACTAGTTATCAAAAAAATTATATATATATATATATATATATATATATATATATATATATATTGTGAAAAATGTATTCAATTTTGATTGAATGTAAATATAACTTTTTTCCATTTATCTCCTAATTATGTTTTGTTACACTATTTAAAGAATTTTAACTTATAACCTGGTTATTAGCTAGAGTAACTCCTTCACTCATGTAAAAATAATGGTTATTTTGGTATTTACCCTATGCTTTGACATCATTAACATGATTCTTAATGAAGTATAATGTCTTTAAAGAGTTATTAAACCGATTAAACTAACCAATTTTAGTTTCCAACTAAGTAAACTTTTATATAAATTTTTATAAAAATAATATAAAAAATTATAAAACTTCCTTTATAAATTAGAAACGTTTTTTTTTCTTTTTTTAAAAATATTTTTATTTTTTTAATTTAAAGAAGAGATAAGTTATTTTTAACTTATAAAATAAGTTATATTTTTATATTAATTTTTTGATAACAAATTTTCTGTAAATTTACTCAAATTATGCCTCATTCTTTTTTATTTTTTGTTGATTATTTTTTGTCAATATGATTTTTATAGATATTTTTTGTCACAAATACATAAGACCAGCCTAAGAGAAGTTGTTAGTGCAAACAACGTGGATGGCCCAAAACTAGAAGAGGGCTTGCGCAAATGGATCAAACAATTTGAGATTAATGCTTACGTGTAGAACACCTATTGGTTAAGATGACAAATAAAAACAGACCGATCATGATCATAGAAAACGACAATTCCCCATATCGTATTGTCACTGTATCACTCTCATCACACACACAGTCGGAGTTGTAGCGGCGAAGCTGCGATCATAGAAGCAAGCAACAGATGGCGAAAACAACGTCGTTGCTGCTGTGTACACTACTCCTCTTCGGAACCCTAGCTCTAATCCAGGTTCCCTCTCGCTCTCTTTATTTCCCTATTCAAATTTTAGGGTTACTCAAATCCTTTCGATGTGAAGGGAATGGATCAACAATCGAGCTTGAGATCGAGATTCATAGTTTCTATTTTATCAGAGGAAAATTCTATTATGTTACATTAATTATAAAATAATCCTTGTTTTTTAGAATTTATTTGACTTGCAATTGAGTTTGGTACAATTTTTTTTTTTTTTTTTAATTTTATTCAATTTTGTTGTCTATGTGTGTTTTTCAGGCAAAGAAATCGAAGGAGGATTTGAAGGAAGTGACCCACAAGGTTTACTTTGATGTTGAGATTGATGGAAAAGCTGCAGGTCTTTAAGCTTAATTCCTCGTTGTGTTTGCGGTTTATTCAGTCGTTGTGTTGTGTCTTATGTTTTGCTTTCCTTGATATGATTCAGAGTAAAGTGAAATGAGATGATTGAGTAAGCTTATTTTTACTTAGAATAATCTTGTAAACTTGTAATTGAGTAATGTTGCGCGTACACTTTCACACAATTCATTTCCAATCAAACAATAATCTAACTTTTTGACCTAGAATCTACCTACGATGACCAACGTGTTTATGGCGGGAATAATGATTAATAATAGGCACAATGTTGGTTAATTAGCCTGTTTGTTTAACTTTTGTAATGGAAGTTACACGTTAAGCAATGCATAAAATCACGTTAGAGCCCACTTTTTCTAAAGCAAAGAATTTCACTTTCCTGAAATTATGTTTCCAAAGGAGAAGGACACAGGCGCTTAGTTTGATATTTGGTTAGTGGATGTGATTTGAGGTTTGAGCCTATGTGAGTGGAACAGGAGGGGGGAGGTTTGACTCAATTGTTCTGATTATTAATGAATAAATGTAGCAATTCTGAATTATTGGAATTCTCCATTTTCCTATTTATGTAAATATGGTAGGTAGAGTCTGTGGAGGACTTGTCTCTGCTAAAACCCAATATTTTTATATACGTGTGAGCAACATTGTCTTTTGCTAGAAGTATTGGTTTGTTTTTTTTTTTTTTTCCATCTTTGACTGGGAATCGTCATAGGCCTTTGTAAGCTCAGTTGGTGGGTCATGGCCCACTTCTAAAGTTGATAGCTGAGTTGGTGTTGGATTATTTTCCTTTTCCTGGAATTGAGTATCAAATCTTGACCTTTGGTATGTATGCTGTGATAATTGACTTTGCAGGTCGAATTGTAATGGGTCTCTATGGGAAGACAGTTCCAAAAACTGCAGGTTGGGTTTTCAAATTCTCTGCACTTTGATTCTTTTCAATTATCATCGTTAGCATTAACTGAATCCTTGTTTTGATTTCCCTTTTTGCAGAAAACTTTCGAGCTCTTTGCACAGGTGATCTTGTTTTCACTGCCTCTGTGTATTGCTTTTATCATATAATTAGAGAACTTTTTGAATCTTTTTTTATATGTGCTTCATATCTTCAGCTGTGCTACAGAAATAAGTGAATAAATAGATTCACTCAATGTAAGAACTGATGAGTAACGGTTGGCCTGTAATCAGACTGCTCTATGTATGAGAATGAGAACAAATTTAGATCAGTAGTACATAGTTAAGTTCTTAAAGACAAGGTGGATTTTATATTGTTCACTTCTGTCTTTTCACTGATGTTTGAGTTTAATAAAATTTCCTCCTCCCATGCTTATTCAATAATGATATCACAGTTTGAATTTGTGAGGTGCTTATTTTCATCTTACTAATTAAATTCATTATATCCTTTACATTTTTACTCTTGTTTGGTCCAAATTATTAGGGGAAAAGGGAACTGGTAAAAGTGGAAAGCCTCTCCATTACAAAGGTAGCTCATTCCATAGAATTATCCCTAGCTTTATGATCCAAGGAGGTGATTTTACACATGGCAATGGAATGGGTGGAGAATCAATTTACGGTGAGAAGTTTGCTGATGAGAACTTCAAGTTAAAGCATACTGGACCAGGTAATATTCTTTCTTCTATATTCCTCTTTTATTATAGAAGTTTGCCAAGCATAAATTCATACGAATCTATGAAGGGATAATGTTCTTTTTTGTTATTATATGTATGAACAGGACTTCTATCAATGGCAAATGCTGGTCCTGACACCAATGGTTCACAATTTTTCATTACAACTGTGACAACTAACTGGTAATTATATCTGGATCAATAACTTATTGCAGAAGAAAACAAATATCAAGATCACATGTTATGATGCTTACTAAATTCTTTTTGTCTTTTTATTAAAGCATATTTATAATGCATAATGCTTTGTTTCTTCTATATTCTTATGGCATACTTCAATTTGTGAGGGCCTGTATTTCCTGTAATTATTTATGCAGTTTGTGTAGTGTGACGTAAGAAATCTGAAAAGTTACATTGGTATTTCAATTGTCATGTGCGTTTCATTATGCATTATTGCCATGCTTAGAAACTACTAAATTATTAATGTATATATTTATTTGATAGGTTGGATGGAAGGCATGTTGTTTTTGGTAAGGTTCTATCTGGAATGGATGTTGTTTACAAGATTGAAGCTGAAGGAAAACAAAGTGGCACTCCCAAGAGCAAGGTTGTGATTGCTGACAGTGGTGAACTCCCTCTATAAATGCACTTCTTTATTCTCAACCAGGATTTGTTGAAGGTGTTTCAAGTTTTAATTTCATTTCCACCTAAGAGACTACTTAATTGTTAAAAGCATGTGCTTATAGGTCAAACGTTAATTGTATGTTTGTGATACTCGGTAGATGAAGTTTCACCCTAATGATTAAACGAAAAATGGCATTTGTGAACGTGAGATTTGTAGAGATCCTGGTGAACATGGCTGTTGATATAAGCAGCAGCCTCTAATGTGAGGGCTAGGTTGGGAAATAAGATAATCATGAGAAGAAAAATACATGCAAAATTTTGTATTAAAATGAAATAAGAAAGAAATAATAAGGAAAAACAGGACAAATTATGATAACGATATCCTGTTTCTAAAACAACGTACGCGTCAGTTGAATGCCTAGAAAGCAATAGAAAGGGAAAAGTTAACGTGGCCCATTCAATGCATTGTTTTTTTTTTTTTTTTTAGAATATACATACAATTTAATAATTTAATAATTATATTTTATAAATAATTATATATATGATAAAATTATTTTAAGTATCTTTTAAAAAAAAACAATTGACTAATGCTATAAATATGACTTGCATGTATCAAAATTATGAGAATTTAATAAAATTTAATAATTTTAAAATATGATTTATTTTAAACTAATATTTTTATTGTATAGTGTCAAAGAAAATTTAATAAAATGTTAATAATCAATATATATTAATAACCATAAATTTAAGAGATAAGATTTTTAAAAGTAATTAAGATAGTTTTTATAAATGTAAAAATAAATATTGATGAAAAACATAAAAATTCATATAAGGTAAAAATAAATGTTAAGTAACAACTTTAATATTCTAAATTTAAATCAGAATAAACAAAAAAAAATGTAGATAAAAAGTAAAATTATTGCATTAAAAGAATTTTAATCCTAAAATATACATGACAAATTATGTTGTGATTTCACTGATGCTTTACTTTTTAAATAATAACTCTTGTTTATAATATAAAAGTTAATTAGTAATAATAATTATTAAAATTGATATAAGTAATTATTAAATGTTATTATTACGCAAGAATTGATATCAATCAATCAATCAAAATGGATTGCATGCATACGTTAATCTTGTAATCAGTTTTATATGAATGCATTAATGTATTGGAATTCAAATAAAATATTGAAATAAAATAAAAAGGAAATAATAAGGTTCAACATTATGTGGTTAGCACTTGATCGGTTGATCTTTCGAGCCAACCAAAGCCCATGGCATCGAACATACCAGTGTGTAATTATCATCCACAGCACTTAAAAAAAAGAATATGGTGAAATTAAAAAAAAAATCCTGAATATTTAAAAATAATCTTTACATATCCATGTATATACAAAGCTAATTACATCTCAGGTCATTACCCTACTCTGAGAATGCAATTCTGACTCAACTTGACTCAATAGAGCTAGGGGTTCACATCAGATGATATAACCCAAAATGTGCCAAGATCTGTCCCCATAAGTTAATGACAATGGAGCTTGATTATACAAAAATAGGTACCTAATGTACAGTACAATGTCAATGCTCTAATTTATTCATTATTTTTGCCATGTTACTGATCTAAATTTGGTACAACAAGTTGATAAGCTTATAGCTAGCTTATACAACATGCTTAATCAATTACTATCACTGTCACTGTCAGCATCCAGAAAGCTGAAGTCTCTAAATCCATTGAGTTTGATCAACACAGTTCCACGGTTCTCTTCACTCCATTCAATTGCCTCTCTATCTAAAAGATTTATAACCTGTGTTAAGCAAATGATACATTGACACAGTTTTAGCACCTTCAAAGACACATTGACATAATGATCAAGAGTTTCTACTTTATAGGATGTAAACAACAAAAATAAATCAATTTCTTTGTAAGCACCAAGTTCCAAAATATATGCCAACATGTTATTACATTGAACACTGTTACACTATACATTCAGTGCATAAAATATTGAATAGAAGAGAGTGGAATTAAAACATACTGTTTGTTTTAGCTTAGACTTTCCAACACCATGTGATCCACATCCTGTAATGACTCTAAGTACTTGGACAGCTGCAAGCAGATATATAAAACAGTAATCAGATAAGGTAAACAAATGCAAATGCAAGTCAATAATGCAATGTCATTTTGGTCTAAAGTGGTGAGAAAATGGTAGCACTTAGATCCTCAGAACATGCTTACAGGGAACATATCCAAATAGAAGGTGAAGTTTCAGCATTCTCATCGCTGGTTTCACGTGCTGCCCATGCAAATCAATAGTTATCACATTTTCTATACCCTTGTTTCTGCATATCACTAACAATAGCTTAATACAAGCAATGCTAAATGAGGCAAATGTGATAAAGGAGGTTTTCTGGCTTTGTTGTTTAAAGAAATCCACCAACCTAGCTACAAATATGTCATGGCTGGCCTTTGTGTCTGCTTTCTGAGCTAATTTTGTTTGTTCTTTACCCTAGTCAGGTACAGAAATAGTTAGCATTATATAAAAAGGTGACTCATGCTAAAGGATTCGACAAAATACAGGTAGTGTACATATAAACCACCACATAGTAAGTAGTCGATATTCCAATTAAAACCATGAAACGGAGAAAATGCAATCTAAAATGTTTCTATAAAACAATGGACCTCAAAAAGGAATACACAAGGCATAGTTATATTTGGATCTCGATTCCTCATTATCAAACTAAAACTTTACATCTACAGAGGCATAAAAAGGGAGATTGAAAGCATCATACAGAGGAAAGGAGAAAGCGTGATAAACATTCAGACGAAACCTTCTTACTAAAATATAGATCAATGTTTAGAATATATAAATTCTGATCTTTTGTCTTTATTTATTGAATCAACCTACTTCAAGCTACACTGCAGTAGATAAAGCAGATGAAATACATAAAATATTATAATAAACAACCATCCCAATGATTGATGCAACATAAGTGTATCCTGTTTTTCACATGAAATTCCATTCTTTACAAAGAAAAGCAAACCTGGTCAGAAAGATATGCAGCATATGCTCGATCCCCTTTGGTAAATGCTGTTGCAGCCTGCAAAATTATGTCACCCTTTCATGTTCTGAACTGACATTTGAACTCCATAGCAAACCCGCTTAAAGATCACAAAGTTAAATAATTCCCAGAAAAGGCCAAATGTGAACTTACTTTCTGATAATAAGATTTCACTGAATTCCAATGCTGATTTGAATCTTCCCTAAACACTTGATATTCATCTCCTTTAGCTAGAAACAAGGAAAACAAAAGAAGTAAACAAACTCGTCATCATTAGATACCATCAAGGAACCTGTTAAATTTAAGCATAGAAAGAAAAGATAATCCCAAAGTCTAAATAAACAAAAAGATTGTAGTAAATTAACTATTATGGTTGTATAGCTTTGAAATTCTCTTTTCCTCTGAATCTTTTCAAGAATAAGAAACTTTATTAGATAAGCCACCAAGGGTAATTTTGAACCAATCCCAGGTTGCCAAGACAATTTTAACCACTAGCACTGATAATTAGTTAATTAACATACATTACCTTTTTACGATTATAATATTAACTATTTTTATTTCTTTCCTAATTTAATGTTTTGAGCTCTTTCCAATTTGCCAATAATATATCATTGATCCAAAATTTCCTCCAGATTGTTTGGCATTTTATATTTCTTAAGAATTAATTTACTTCCTATTTTATCCTAGATGGCACAAGCATTGCTTGTGCTACTCTCACTCATCAAATGAGTTCAGAGACCAAGCAAAACAATATTATCCGATAAGACCCTAGCCCACATTTTCCAGCTATATTCAACAAGATTCAGCCTTTTCCAGTCTGATCCAACCTTTTCTAGCAAAATCTACCAATGTGTATAGGGGTAATCTTGCCAAAAATGCATGATGTATCCTCCTTGCCCTGACTTGGGTTGCCTAGGATGGCAAGCCACCTGGTTACACCATATAGAACAGGTAACTCAACCATATCAATTCCATCAAGCCTTAAATTGAGCGACTTGCAAGCCAACATACTCAATAAAACCAATGACAAAAATCCCATTACAAACTATGATAGCATGTAAAACAGAAGGAGAAACCAGCATACATCAGATTTGTAATTACTGAAGATCAGATAACTATTGTTGAATAATAAAATAAATTACACAGGCACAAACCAACTAATACTGTTTAAGAAGAGCCAAAAGGTGCAGGTATTATTTCAAAATTGCCATTAAGTACCATAAATACGTTGCTGTGATTCTGTAACAGGTGGAAAAATATCAAATCCAGGTCCCAAAGACTGCATTTTCTTTGCTACTCTCCTCCAATTCATGGCATCTTTGTTGTGTTCAGTAATTTTGGGAATGTTAAACAAAGATTCCAGCACCTTTTGAGGAATCTCAGACCTTGTACATCCTGGGCTAATAGCAGAATTAGCTTTAGAACTAGAGAGGACCTCCGCATAATTCCTAAAACCAAGAAACAACTAGCTAGTGGAGTTAGGTTCCAAATACCAACATCCTTGATTAAGATGACATAGCAGTTCAAATGCAGGAAGGTATAAACAGGAACTAAAAGCATATGCTAGAATAGGAGGATAATCAAGTAAAAGGAAATCCAACATTACAAGTAATAAATTCTCTTATACTATTGTTTATTTTGGTAAAATAGTGATGTTGAGCCTTGAACCTTTCACTACATGCAAACCACACACGCCCCTCACACCACTAGCCCAATCTTATATTACTAATTAAAATTCATACAAAAGTGGCAAGTATATTTTTTATTTAAAGGGCATATCCCAGGGCTTATGCTAAGATTATATAGCTCATGTTCAAGAATGCATTTGTCATGATTTAATAAAAGGAGTTGAGAACAATAATGTTGCCTGCTAAGCATAATTACAATCCTAGTGGACTATGGATATGACAGGATTTCAACGAAATGAATGTGCACTTAGTAGTTCTATGCAAAAACTTAAAACCTTGAAGGATGTAAAAGTATATCTAAAGATACAGTCTAAATATTATGCACCAAGATATATCTATCAACAATATTCAATTGCCAATTCAAATTCCCACCACCATGTTATTCACCAGACTACTTTAATAGTTTAAATTATGATATGACTAAACGAATTAAAAGATGTTGCTTCAATAATTGAAAGATCCTTTACCAGAATTGTTTTCTTTTTTCTTGTAGGAGGTGCATAGTGGGACAAAAATGGGAAGACAAAGGCATAATTAATTGACACTTCCATGAACTAGCAGTTTAATAAATGCATTGATGTAATTTACCTGTCTAAAGATACAAGAGACCATTGATTATCAGAAAGTTCACTTTCTGATGAAAGAGACGTGCACTCTGATCTCCTGTCTGTCAACTGTGAATAAATTGACAATTAATACGATGTACCAGTAGGGACACATAATGAAGTTAATAATACCACCAAAATGAACACACTTGCTGTATTGTACAATCCCAGTAGCTTACACACATCTCTGAGTTTTTCAGAAGAGACCACATGACCAGTTCAAAGATTAAACAAGCATAAATTTGAAAGCAGCAGTAAATGCCACTTACACTGTCATTTGGGTCAACAAGGAATCTTTCATCATCTATGTTGTCTACTCTGTAGTTAGGATGTCTATCACTACTGGATTGCCCAACTGTGGATGCAGCTAAATCAAGCAATATATTTGAGGCCTGGAAAATCATATTCACAGCTAATCATATTAAAAACTAGCATAACTTTATTTGATTAGAACAGCACCCTAAAACCCCCGTAGGGATGGAAAACAAGATAACACACACTGCTACTATCCATTTGCATAAAAATGTCTATGAAATTAAAATGAAGTAAACCACTATAGCCACATGTGATGGCCAACGAACTTAAAAACAGAAAAGCAGTGCAAACAATAGAATGTGTAAGAAGGTGTTCGATTTATTTTCTTGTTTTCAATTTCGAGTGACATGTTTTCATTATGTTTACAAAAATTTGTCATTTATTGTTTCCTATTTCTTAAATTTTGTTGATTTGTTCTACCCCTCAACCCATAACTAAAAAAATGAGGGAAAGAGATTTCAAATATGTAGTATGTCATTACGTCTGCTCAAAAGCCAAAAGACACAGTGAGACCAACACTTTCTCACCCTTTTCTCTGTTTTGTACCACCAACGCTCAACCACCTCATGCAGTCTTTCTAGCAACACCTACGCTCCATTCTTTTCTCTATTTTAAACCGTGAATCACCTATATTCTGAACTTTGAACCCACAACTTCTTCTGTTCTCTTTGAGTGACAGCTGCCCTCCCTTTTTAATGAATGTTTTAAGATGTCTTGTTCTTGAAATATGAATAAAGCTTGAATTTTGAATGTTTCTGGACTTTTATTGTTGTTTACTTGTATATTTTGCTCAAGATCTATGACTTTCTATTGTTAATTCTATATAACTCATGAATTTTGAGTATTTTTTTTTATTCTTTTCATTTAAATGAATATAGTATAAATTATTTAATTTGTATATAAAAACTCTGAATAGTGATCATCCTACTATGTGCTATCCTACTATAGCATTTTTTGAGTAAGCCACTATGCACCACTATCCAAGATTGATAGCTTGGGGTGGCACCACATGATGCACTGAGGTAAGAAGAAAATTGATGCTCCATGAATGAAAAATTCAAAACATGAGATAAGAAATAAATTGCTGCTTCATTAATGAAAGTTCCACAACATGGATAGATTGACATCGAAATATTGTATGGCATTGCATATTCAATCAATGAAATCACACCGACATTTTTGTTTAAAGAAGGCTTATGAGAAAATAAGAATAAAAAACAGGATCCTCCTAAACCAAAGAAAATCAGAGAAAATGAAACCAAAATGTGTGTGTATCAAGATCAACTCAAAGGAGCTCTCTAATCAACCTGCATATATTCCATTTACAGACCCAGAAACACTAATAAACAAATAACCAATGAAACCATCCTACTCTAAACATATGCACCACCACAAACCAACAAAAAGGGCACAAACAGCAATCAACCTTTTTGTGTACACTGTACACAAACAAAAGTAACTGACAAAAATCAATAAGTGCAACATTGAGAATAATAAACGATCATTATGTGTTAAGGACTTGAGTGAAATATAATCTCAGATTGCCGTCATACCTTTTCAATATTATATCCACACTGACCTGCATGCAAAGACAAATTCAAAGGTCAAACAACAAAGTAATAAAACCAAAACAAACTAAACTCCTAAACAAAATATCATAATTGACAACCTTTTTCTTGAAAAAGAAAAAGAATTACATCAAACAATTGACCTTAGGATAACAAGGTTTAAAACTTTAAATGGTTACAAAGTTGAAATTAGAATTAAATTAAAATAAAAAATAAAAAAATATTTGCAACATCTAGTCATTAGTCTTCTATAACTTAAAAATCATCACATAAATTATCAGAGGATATCACTCCTCCATCCATCTTGTTTAAGGTAAGTCAAATTTGAAAATAAAAAGAAAATCACTTACAAAGTACATCTCTAACAACAGCCAAGCTAAGATCAGAATCATTCCCAAGCATAGAGCAGAGGAATTGCTCTGCCTCTTCCTTATCAACAACCACCCCATTAGTATTAAACCCATTGTTCCTCGTGCCGTTCCTCCTCACGTAATCCTTCCCAAGAACAGTGGAAACAGTTCCAGTTGAAGCAACCACCTTCTTCTTCTGCCTTCCCCCTTTGAAATACCTCACATCTTCTCCATAAGTCTGTTCCACAAATCCATCAGAGGAACCCGAAGTTGAAGCCGAGGAAACACCACTGCTTCCACCACTCAACATAGAAGAAGAAGAGCAAAAAGGGTATTCAACGTTGTCCCCAAAACCCTTCCTTAAAATCTGCGAAGCCTTGTCGGGATCACCACCTGCAACATCATAAGCCCTGGCAGCTTCTTCAATAGAAGACAAGGAGAAAGCCTCAATCAATGCCTCTAAAACCCTTCGTTTCCTCTCGTCTTCTTTTTTATTTTCATTCTCAACAACCCCTCCTCCTTTTTTCTGCTCAACCTTCTTTGGCTTCGTCTTCTTCTTCCTTGGGTTCTTCATCTCTGGAATGGAACAAAATGGATCTGGGTACTGTCAAAGGAAGAAAATTTCAGAGGAAATTGGGTCCGATATTGGTTTTGAAGGTGAAAGTTGAGATTTTGCAGAGGTTATGGTTGATGGATACAGAGGGAGGAACGGCATGGGAGAATCTCAAAAAGCATGAAAAGAAAACCAAGTGAAACAACAACAACAATAATAATAATAATAATAGTTATTACAATTATAATAAAATAAAATAAAACAACAGTGCATTAAATTATCCGTTATTTATTTTTCAAATAAGATTATATGTTAAAAAATTTTAAAATAATAAATTTTAATTAAAAATTTAATATTGATTATTATTATTACATTAAATTTTTATAATATTTTATTATTTAAAATAAAAAATTATACAAATATTTTATTATGTGTTCTTTACTAATTTTTAAAAAAAAACTTTAATTTTATATCATATTTTTAAATGTCAAAAGAAAAAGAAAAAATTGACACAAACACCCTGACTATTTTTACCATGAGATTACCAAATTGGAGCCTTGGAATACGTAACTCTATATAGAGATATAAAGTCAAAGTTGACCAAAAGAAAGTAATGAGGTGAATTTAACAGTTTGAAAAGACAATATCTTTTATATAGACATGATAAATAGTAACAAAGTAATTAATACATGATAGTCAATTATGTGACCTTAAATTGAATGTTAACTAACTATGCTTTTTTTTTTGTGGTTAAATATTTTTCACAATTCAATTATGAAACTAAGTTTTAACATATGGTCATTTTTATAAGTCAAAATTTAGTTGACAAAGAATAGGGCTTTATGATCACAATAGTTGATATTTGAAAAATAAATATTAAAAAATATATCTTAAAAATTAATTGTAAGTGTAAATTAATTTCACTTTTTTTATATGTCTTGTGAATTCTTTTTAGTTTAAGGAAATATTTTGTTTTATTGGTGTTAGTGAAATTGTAATAATTTAAATCAAATAGCAATTTTTTTTTTAATTATGTGGGTATTTTTAATAAAAGTATAAAGAAAATAATACTACTTTTAATTATTAGTAATATTAAATTAAAGATAAAATTTTTAAAATGAAAGAAAAATTTATTAAATTTTATTGATAGTGTATGTTACAATTTAAAATTTAAAACTAAATTAATTATAATTACAATAATTTTAAATTTAGTTTATTTAAAAATCTTTATTTTAATACGACAATACAATAGTAAGATTTGAAATTAAATAAAAATAAATTAAAATTTAAAAGAAATAAAAAATAGTAAAAGGATAAAATTAAATGCTTAATAAAAAAATTACATATGGTGATAAAAGTGAAAATAACTCTTGCAACTACTCTTATTTAAAATTAATGATAAAAAATATCTTTAAATACTTAATTACTAAAATTTAAATTTAAAATAATAAATTAAACTAAAATAATGTCCTATCCATATGTTCATTCTTATAAATTTAAAAAAAAATATATATTTAATTACTAAAATTTAAATTTAAAAGAACTCTCGTTGCAACTTAACAAAGTGTTGAGAAAGATATTAAATATAACAGGTAGAAGAAAACTGGATCTACACAGTTTGCAGATAAAAAAAAGTAAATAAGGGACATCAAAATTATAATATTGCAACGACTTTTTTTTACTGCTATTTTTTTAGACGATTTCTTTTTTCTCTTGTACACTATTGAGGCAGTTTTTTTTTGTCTCATACTCACACATCGACAATTTATTTTTTTCTATCAGTAACTTCCCATAACACATTTTTTTTTTACAAAGTTAGTGTAAGCTCATTTGATAGTGACTAATTGACACAAAGTTCTTTCGTATAATCATATGCACCTTTTCTATTTTATGGTATACATAACTTTTATATCAAATTAAATTAATATATTTAATTAATTATTCAAGTAAAGACTTTTTATTATTAAAAAATATTCAAACTTCCTTTATCAACATTAGATATTACATTTTTTTTTTTGCAAAGCTAGTGTAAACTCATTAGATAGTGACTAATTGACACAAAGTTCTTTCTATAATCATATGCACTTTTTCTATTTTATGATATACATAACTTTTATATCAAATTAAATTAATATATTTAATTAATTATTCAATTAAAGACTTTTTATTATTAATAAATATTCAAACTTCCTTTATCAACATTAGATGCTTTATCAACATTAGATATAATCTATAAAAGTTTGCCATTAAAATCAAACCGCAACTGTAGTGAGTAAATGGTTTACAGTGCATATGGTCACCATTGATTGGTTTAATTGGGATATAAAGTAAAATAAATTCTTAATTGATCCATTTTAATTGCATTGAATTAGTTTAATTTTTTAAAATATTATTTAATTTAGATTAAATCAATTTGATTAAGAGAGTCTTGATCAGTTCAAGACGTTAAATTAGGATAAAAAGATAAAATATTATATCTAAAACTTCTATTATTTAGTATATCTTTTAAATAATTCTAATTTAAGAATACGATTCATATTTAATATATTAAAGTAGACATTAAACATAAGAAGCTTTTTATTCTTCAATAATATTAGACAACAGTTAAATCGATTTCAATCATTATATTGTTTTTAATTAATATTAATATATAAATTTTTTATATATCTCATTATTCTGATTACCTTAAATATCTTTAAAAAGTTCGATAGTAAATATAACCAAAGACACTTAATATACTAAACAACATATTCAAAATTATGAGACGATAAACATTAAATAGCAATATTCGTTGCATGTAATAATTAAATATCAATTATTACCTTAAGTTGTACCTTAAAGTTATCTAAAATATTGATTTTTAAAATAAAAATATATTTATATTTGAATTTTTTAATCATTTTTAAACTTAATATAAATATATTGGAAGAAATATTTATAAAATCAAGAAAAAGGAAAAAAAAGAAGCCCCTTTAGATAGTAAATATTGGAAGAAATATTTATTCTTCAAAAGTTATTTAAGAGAAATATTAGAGATATCTTGAACTGGTTTCCTTTACCTTTCCAGTGTCATGTTATTACTTTTTTTATTTTTAATATCAAACCCCTAAATCAGCAAATACCTAAAAGGTCTAAATTTCTTGTTCAGATCGAATCACATTGCTCTCAGTTATTGTTGTCTTCTGCATCCTTTACTATTCTAATAATCTTCTACTTTACAATCACTTGCTCTGCACATTCACTCACTCAGTTGCGGAATGTCAAGGGCTCAAGACAATTTTACAAACCGTTAGATGCAAATTCATCTTATGCCAACATCTACACGAGCCAATGGAAGTCTTCCTCCAAATGATGACACAAAGCAAATCTAAATGATGGCATACCCTACACAACAGAACTTGCTAAGCTTAAGAAACAATGGTTATATTTATGTTTCAGCTTGATCTGGTTTGGTGATTCATAGGAGACTGAAATCGTAATTACATCAGATCTTAAGCTATTAAAGTCAATGTCTGGCTAAAATGCCCCATTTTTTATGTACATATTTAAACGCCAAGCAGCAACACAGAGATTAAAAAAATATCATATAATGTCAATATAGCCAGTCATTCATTACAGAAAGTGCATTGAGACTGCCTTAATTAGATTACGTCTAACACGGAGACAAACGAGATTACACAGATTATTTACCGTTTGATAACTTCTTAAAGCAGGCAAATACTAATTACATCAGCTAAGATCATCAATCTGATCGGATTCCACCCATGAAAGTCCTTGGATCAGGACAACTTCCACTAAATTGAGCTTGTGAAAAATCAAAACCTGGGTTCTGCGCAAGGCACAAGCATTATCATTAGGAATAATTGTTTAAAGGAAAAAAGAATGTCCCACTAAAAACTTAATCACATAACGTAGTTAATGGCTATCAATTAGTAACCTAAAACAAGTCTTTATCTGTTTCTCTAAACAATGATGGACTTCACCATTATCACTTTTATTATAGGTAATTTATTTACGTCAAAATGGAAGGAAGAAGATCAGGTTGGAACAGTAAGAAGCAAATACTCCTCAAGAAGGTTCAGATGCCAATAATTTATAACATAAACAAATAATCAGAACACATCCATGTGTATCTAGAGCCCAAATATGTCAATTACAAGTGACAACTGGCAATACATTTGATAGTGCAATGTCACACAGCTGAAGGTACTGATTAAAATATTTTTAATGTTTTGTTTTCACTAAAGATTTACATGTTTTTAAATGAACATCTCATCATTATTGGGCAAATGCAGTAGATTGAGTTAAGATCATGATAAAAGAATAAACCTTTCTTTAAACACAAAACAAAACCAAAATGTAAAGATGAACTGACAAGAAATAAAAGGGCAAAAAGAAGGAGTATCATCATCATTTTTTGAGTTGCAGACAAAATGAGTTACTTTAAAATTACCATAACAACAAAGGATGTTGAGAAGCACATGCTAGATATGGGAGAAGCCCATGTTTGACCTTTATCCCAGTACACAGAAACGGATAGTGATGAAAAGAACAACTCACCTCCTCTTGAAATCTCTGAAGCATGAGGCGCTTCTGTTCAAGATCAGAAGAGTATGGGTCCAACTGACCCTGACCTAATATGGGAGAAGCCCATGTTTGACCTTTATCTCTCTTATTCAGTGTTATGTGCATTATGTCATCCTCTGCAGACGCCATTCCAAAACCAGTATCAATCAACAAATTTAACTTAATAAACACCAAAAAACCCACATTTACTTCATCTTTGGTTATGAAATTAGGGAAATTTTAAAGTTTAAACCTTTACCTAGGGTCCAAAAAGACGAATCAGTCTTCACTGGGGAAGTAAGATCATGCTGAGAAATCAAACACAAATAAATAAATATATAAGGGGGGAAAGTAAAATAAAAATAAAAAACCAGCAACAGAAATGATAAAGGGAAAAAAAGGCATATAATAAATTGAGAAAGAAAATCAAGAGCAAGAAATTAGAATTACATTGAGATACGGAGGATTGCCTTTGATGCCAAGTTCAAGGTGTTTGGACTGAATCTTACAGTAAAATTGCTTGGAATGAACGTTAGGAGGGAGATTTATGTACATATTGACCTCGTCTAGGGTTTGATCCCACTCAAACACCTTTTGACCTGATTCCACTCATGGCACATGGGTTTGTTTGATTCCAATTTAGTTGATAAAAAAACAGTATAAAACAGAATAAAATTGGAGAGACAACAACAGGGGGAAATGGAAAGGTACCATTGTGGACAAAGCTGTGACGCTTTTCTGGGGCTAATTTCTCTGCCATTTTTTCTGTTTCTCTGCACCCACCTTCTTCTTCCTCCTTCGTTTGTGCAGTTTCCTTTATTTTTTTGGTAACAAAAATTATTATTCTGTAGAATTTCATAATATTTTATTCAGTTACATGTAAAGGTTTTGTATTTTAATATCTGATATAATTAAGAGTCATGCAAGCTCCATCTTGCTTTATTAAATTTTTATTTTTCTGTACATTGCAATAACAATAGTTGCTTTCGTGATTATACAACATGAAATACTAGATCTAGAAATGTTTTGGTGACTTGATGAATCTTTAATATTTTCATAACAACCCTGCATGCTGAATTAATGTCATTTCAGTTATGTTATCCATTCTTGAATCAAGGGCTCCATTGATACTATAGTACACAAGTGCCAAAAGGTGATAGATAATGCAGATCAGGTAAAACAGTCAAATAGAACATTGGTCGTAATTTTTGGTTTGGGGAACAGGGTGAGATTTGGAGTTTGCATTAATGACTCCCACAAATAGAAAACCACCATTTTGTGGACAAAAGCCAGTATGTTTTAAAATCTTATTTTCATAAAATTCTGTTTGTCCCAGCCTCTCCTTTTAAGAAGAGAAGCTCAAAATAAGCTGGGCCAATACTACCTATGGTTTATTTAAGAAGCCTCACATGCCATGCACTGAAACAGATCAATCTTTTACCTCCATATAAAGTCATAGATGTAACATAACCGATAGTGCCAAATCGTAATACAATACTAATCATTACAGTTTGTAAGAAAATGCATTTATGGCTGCCAACCATGCTGTTGTAGATTGTAGTTTCCACCCATCATGTTCGAGTGAAGAAACACGCAGGATTCAGTATTCCATTCAAAATTGGGAATCAGAGTTACCCAGATGGTTAAAAATCATGAAATAAACAGTAAGAAACCAAAGCAATGCGTACCCTAGAAACTACTCAAATTCGTCGAATTTAGATTCCCATGCTTCTCAACCAAACAATTGGATGCAATTCATCATCTAAACCAAACCACAAACGCACACACAAAAGAGCTGCAACCGAAAGCAAGATTCGGCACTATTCTTATATCATCAAAGCATAAAAGCAGAGAATTAGAAATCAAACTCTACCATTTCTACAAAATCATCAAATCAGGGAAACAAAATGAAATGGCCAACAACACATCAGATGAAGAGCTCAATCACCTGACATAAATCCCTGATTCATAAATTTTGAACTATTCATTATATGATAAAGAGAGAAAAGAAGAAGAAGAAGAATATGATGAAACTGAAGAAAAATGGGTCAGCTAACCTGTGATGAGAAGGGGAAGGGTTAAACGGTGTCGCTTTACCTTAACACACAGCAACGAGCGTTGCGTTTTGCTGAAGCGAAAGGAAAAGAGGAAATGGAGAATATTGAGGATAAAGTGTAGAACAGTAGAACATTTTCTTTTTTGGGTCAACAGCATAAAGGGTTAAAGGGTAAACGGAACAGAACTTTACAGAACAATTCTGAGCCATACAAGCCCAAGCCCAAGCCCAAGCCCAGTACAACAATTTGTTTGCGTTTCTGCTTTCTAATGATGGGCTATGGCCCTATAAATTTAGGGGTTATTTTCTCCCAATATTTTTTTTTCCTATTTACATTATTAAAAAATAGTGTAAAAGGTTGTTTATAAAATACCTTTTGTTAACTGCCATGTTCATACAATTTTGTTCCTGGAGGATTTGGTATTATTGTTGTTTTTTGGTTCCCAGATCTTGATCTAAGACTTGATTTCTTGTTTCTTGCTTCTGATTCTAGTTCTTCGGCCTTGACCTTGCTTCTGGTTCTTATTTATGGGTTCTTGTGTTCTTGATTCTTGCGTAATTTTGTTTTTTTGGTCTTGTTCTTTCTTGGATCTTGAATCTAGTCTTGGTTCTCCGTTTCTTTGTTGTCATTCGATATTCGATAACAAAAATCACTATATTCTCATATTTTGTTTTTTGGGTTCCTAACATAGTTTTAAACATTTCTAGGTAAATTTCTATATCAACGTGTTTTTATAGATAGCAAACCATTTGGTGATATGTTTTCTTGCAACGCATTCAGTTAGGGCATGGAAAATCTAAAATGAGATTGAAAAAAAAGAAGATCTTGACACCAAATGATAAAACCTGTGCATTGATCGACAGAATGTTTTAATCATAAAGACATGTACAATGGCATATTGACAAACATAGTCAATGTGTATACCATAGAGGGAGGTGCATACTGAGTTAATATTTGCTCTCTGTCTATACCCAACCATATTTTCTGCTGGTAATCAGAATAAGGAGAGAAATTGAGGGAAAAAAGAGATAGACACAGAGATTTCAGTTACAGTTATCTTAATTCTTATTATTATTTTATGTGAAATTAATATTTAAAGATAGAAAATTTTAATTATTTAATTTTAAATTAAATATGATATTTGTCTGATTAGTTTTGCACATAAGACAATGAATTTAGGTGTTTTAAGTAAAAAAAATTGATAAGGAACTAAATTTGTTGATTTTTTAAAATAGACAACTTAATTGATTAAAAAATTTTAACACTAAAATTAAATATAATTCTAATTAAAGAAACAATAAATGCACGCTATTTTTGTTTTTTTTTTTTTTTTTGCGTTTCATTAATTATAAAATACATAAATAATAGAATAATAACTTGAAGTAGACATTTCGTTTTATTCACTATTGGATATCCTAAAACAACCTTACCAAATTAGCAGTTTGAGTTTCACATAAAGTAATTCTAGATTTGACTTAATTTATTGGAGTTACAGGTCAAACATAAGGACCAATTTTGGGGCTAAACCATAGCTTGGAATGGAGGGTTGTGTTCCCTAGCCTTTTCTTGAAAGTTGTGTCCTTGAAGCTAAGGCTTGGAACTCCGACAGAAAGTCAGAATCTACATATATAAAATTTGTTTAACTTTTGTTTAAAAATATATAATAAAAGATTAATAAATAATACAATTTTATTTAATTATATGATAAATTTTAACTTTTGATAAAGATTATTATATATAAATTTATATTATATACTCTTAAAACACATTAAAAAAAATCATAAAAGGAGAGATTTAGATAAGGTATGTACAGTGATATTAAGGGTTATTAGAAAATCGCTTTTCCCTTCGTTTACCTTTTCCATGTTTCTCGCTTACTCCCTAATGATTTCATTTTTCCATGTATTAATTAAAGAATGGGCAACGTTTCACTCAATGTATAAAATAATCAATGGATCAAGAATGTTGCGTTTTTTCTTGTCTTTATGGAGAAACACTCTTTAAGTTTCCTCTTTACGATTTGATTCAGTTTATTTATGAAGATTAATAAAACTTATAAAATACTAGGCTCAAGTTGAAATCATTAAAGTTATTATTTTTTTTATTATTCAACATATAAATTAAATACAAAGAATTATTGTATCTTACTACATGTAGTATTTAGTTTAAGTCTCGACTAATGCAATCTTTAACTTAAATTAAAAAGTTTTGTTAATCTTAGTCTTTACAGCTGAGTTTAAATATTCATAACTGAAAATTTTTTATAAAAAAATACATAATTATTGTATTTAAGTTATAAAAATATAATAAATACATTTTTAATAAAATTTTATTATTATTAATTACTTATCATCAGTCATAAAAATTAATAAAACTCTAAATTAAATACAAACAATGTGTTGCAAAAGCTTTTTAGGTCATTAAATTATCAATTTTCACACAGACAATATGTTACCCGTGGCATTGTGTTCAAATCATATGGTATTTGTCTTACACAAATTCAGGACGTGGCATTTAGCTATTTGTTTTGCAGACGAGGCTCAAATCATATATACTTTAATTGAATTGAAGTATATAATTTAAGGCCTATGTTGACTTAAAAAACGTAATTAATCACTAACTAATCACATATCCATCTAACTTCAATCACTAAGTACTTAAACTAATCACCAACTCAATTATATTGTATTTAATGAAAATCTGGATTTAGTAAAATGAATAAAACTTATGAAATATATAGTACAAGTCTAAAATAAGGCTTATAAATTAAGAAAAACAATTAACCACTAACTGATCACATGTGTGTCTAACTATAATCACTAACTATTTAAATTAAATTATCAACTAACTCAACTCTACTAAGTTGAATACTTTTTCATTGCTTCAAGAAAGAAATTGTTATTTTTTTCACTCAAATAGATTATAAAATAATAATTCAGACTATCATATTAATCTTTTTTTGTCTGGAAAGTTTTGTGGGTGTTTCAATTGTACATAAGAATTTTGAATTAGTTTGTTGCTTTCCCATATTAATATTCCCACAAAATGAGGAAACACAGTTCCTCCAAATTAAAAGGAATAATCATCCACTCTTGGTTTTGGAATAGTCATTCATATTTTTTTGGTTCTTTAAAGACAACAAGGTGCTCCACGTTCATCCAATGTAAGATTAACAAAAGCTCAAAATTAATACTTAAGATCATAAGATTTGAGACTCCTGTGATAACTGTTCAACTTTTTTAATTGTTCCTGAATAATGAGTGTATTTAAAAGTGTTTATAAAAATATTTATAGTGCTTATAAATTTTTTCAATTTATTTTAATAATTTTTTATATAATTTGTCAATATAATGTCTGTTTAATTTACATAAATAAATTTTATAATCTGATTTATGATATAAATATTTTATGTAATGAGAGTTTATTTAAAGTTTATAAAAATAACTTACAACTATTATAATTTTTTAAAAAAATTATTTTAATAGGCTATTCAATGTAACATATAAAAATATTTTTTTTTACTTATTTTAAGAAGTTTGTGGTCAGATATATAATATATAATTTTATTAACTTAAGTTTTTAAAACTAAAGAGAAACAACTAATGATAGTAAAATTTTATTTTAAAAAATATTTATTATACTTTTATAACTTTAATACAATAAATATATTTTTTTCCTAACATTTTTTTTTATTTATGAATGGATAAACTCAACTTTAAAATCAAGTTAAAAAAACTTATAATATAAGATTTCATGTAATAAAAATTTATTAGATAAATGCTTATAAACAGTATTGCCAACGCACCCTTTATTAAAAGCTTGTGATTTAAAGAAGAGGAAGACCTACCTTGATGTATGGTGTGAGCACATACATATTTATTAAAGGAGTTCCTTGGCATTAGGTGAAGTAAGTTAATGATACAGCACGTTAATGTATATATGTTATTTAAATTTGCTTGTAACCGCAACGCCAGCATTGCAATGGCTAAGGGCACAATCTGATGGTGGAGTTTGGAACTCAATACTCCTTTATGCCTCACCTATTTTTAATAACAAAAGAGAAGTTTGGTCAAAATTTCAATCATAAAGTACATATTTGTAACCATCTTTGAAGAACTCAATAAAATAACACACTCATGTCTCTTATCTTGGCAACAACCAGCATCTATCCTACTTGGAATTTTAAACTCAAACCTCTACCTTACAAGTTACAACTATGACAGCCCAGAAACACTCCTCAAAAGAAGAGCATTGTAGACAAGTTGATCGTTGTTAGGACAGTTAGAAAGTCCACATTATTGCAACCCCCAAATTCCAAATACATATAATGAATGAGTCACAACCATTCATTCATTTCATATTACTATAAAATGGTTTCAATTTGGAAAGAAGGGTCAGTGTCTAGAGTCCCGCATATGGCAATGGCATCTATAGAGGAGACAAACAATGTTGCTATCATCTTTGGGGTCACTGGACTTGTTGGGATTGAGCTAGCTAGGAGGTTGCTTTTAGAACCTTCTTGGAAGGTTTATGGTATAGCTAGAAATCCTGAGATACCAACTACCCTTATAAGTCCTTGTTACCATTTCATTTCTTGTAATTTGCTTAACCCTTTGGAGACCCAAAAGAAGCTATGTGGCTTACAAGATGTGACTCATGTGTTTTGGATCACATGGGCAAGCCACTTCCCATCAGAGACGAAAGAAAGTTGTGAGCAAAACAAGGCCATGATGTCCAATGCTTTGAATTCTATACTCAAAATTGCGAAGAATCTAAAGCATGTTTCCCTTCAGACAGGAACCAAGCACTATGTATCACTTCAAGCACCCTTTGATGAAGAGAAGCTCCACTATTACCATGAAGAGTTTCCTAGAATGAGTAGATCCCTTAATTTCTACTATGCTTTGGAGGATTTGCTCATGGAGAAACTTAATGGTAAGGTGTCCTGGTCTGTGCATAGGCCTGGTTTATTGTTGGGTAGTTCTATTAGATCAGTTTATAACTTCATGGGTAGCTTATGTGTGTATGGGGCTATTTGTAAACATTTGAAGCTCCCTTTTGTCTATGGAGGAACTAGGAAGTGTTGGGAAGAGGCCTATATTGATGGATCAGATGCTAGGCTTGTAGCTGATCAACACATTTGGGCAGCCACAAAAAGTGATATAATTTGCAACAATGGCCAAGCTTTTAATTCAATCAATGGCCCAAGTTTCACTTGGAAAGAGGTTTGGCCAATTGTTGGGAAGAAATTGGGAGTGCATGTCCCACAAGACATGTTTGTGGAGAACTTTTGGTTTTCAAAAGCCATGCCTGAGAAGCATCATGTTTGGGAAGAGATTGTGAAGGAAAATGGGTTGGTCCAAACAAGTGTGGAAAATTTGGCCAATTGGGAATTTCTAGATGCATTATTTCGTTTCCCTTTCAAACTCTTGGGGAGTAGAGAAAAAGTTGATGGGCTTGGTTTTGCTACAAGGTATAAGACATTGAATTCAATATTGTACTGGATTGATTGCATGAGAGACGAGAAGCTAATTCCCTAAAGGTTTATTTCTAGCTTTGACTTCAATTTTGGAGTGTTTGATGATATAAATTTAAGGAGCACCAGAGGATGAGGTTTTCCTTTACAAAATTAGTGGTAAGGTGTTGTTTGCATGTGCTAGTTGACTAGCCCTTAATTGCTGCATACTTTAATAGTTTATATTCGGATGGAATCATCCAATTAAATAATGTATATAACTTATTTTCCACGTCGATGTCTCCTAGCTAGTGTCACTTTATGTATGGCAATATCAACTCTATCTCTATCTATGGTTTTTGCATCTGCAATCACTTTCCACAATTTTTTCTCAGGTTTTGTAGTAATTCTATACTAATAATATGGTTAGAAAATCTTTAATATATGCTCTCAAAACACGGTTTATTAAATTTTCATGTAATTCTTTTAAAAGTATTTCCTTTGGGGTCACACATGAGAATCCATTAACATGAGTAATATTGTATTTTTATTTATTTATTTTAATAAAACAAGTGTTAAATAAATATATTTACTATTTTAAAAATGGTTAATATTTTTTATTTGATGAATCAGAAAATTTGTAAAAAGATATTATAAACAAATTTAGATTATTTTATCTAACTAAACAAGCTTCTAAATAAGAGATTAAATGTCGTTAACACCACACATAAACAAAAATATAAACTTCAACTAATATAAATTTGTGTTTGCATACCTGAGGAACTAAACGGGGAGAATCCTTTTTTAGAGCTAGAGGAAAATTAAAGTGGGGTAAATCTACTAAATGAGAGTGAGAGGGTGTAAGACAGGGTGGAGGTTCAGCGTGTACGCTTATGATGGCTTAACAAAGAAAATCTCAAAAAAATTTAAAAGATACATTAGTCGTATACAAACGTTATCAACATATTTTTTTAAATTTTACGAAGAATCATGAAGTGTTAGCGCTGTGTGAGATATTCCAAAGGTATGAGAAGGTTGAGGATTTGTTTATTTCAAAGAGGGGCAAGGATCGACGTAGATTTGGGTTCCTGCTATTTGTAGAGGTCGGGATATCCAAGACATGAAAAAGAGACTAAGTTTCATAACAATAGTCAACATGTGGATGACATTGAACGTGTCTAGATATAGTAGAACTGGCAATAAATTAGAAATCACGAGATAAAATCAGGATGTTGTGCGTGAGAATGTGTCAAAACTATTGACTAGCGTAGGGACTAAGGTGGAACGGAGAGGTAGTGTAGTGTTGGTGGACGAAACTATGCAGATATGGTGAAGGAGAATGGTGCTATTGCAGGGCCAAACAAAAATGCGATGTGGGTGCTTAAGAAAAAATAGTGGTATCATAGCGAGTTCCATGTTAATCAAGATATGAGAGGTGTTGTAAAGCGGTGATGGAAAGGTTACACCGGCCAGAAGAGCTCAATAGTGTGGTTGACTTCCTTGTACGGAAATCCATATTGAATATCAAAACCATTACCATGAGTGATAATATTGGAATCAGAGGATTTAGAGGATTTGGGGGATGTTATAGTTAGGTATAAAGATAACTTGTCTAAACTGTTTTATACCATTGATTGGTGGTATCCTTGTATTGTGGTTGTTAATAGAGGAACGTGGGTCTGTTTGTACGACGTGATATATCATATGGTCAGGAGCATTCTTTCAGAAGATAGTGTCACCACTGGGAGATGTTGTGTGCATGGACAATGATACAACATCTCGAAGACGTATGGATTTTGCAAGAGTTCATTTATGGACTCAAACACATGTGTTGATTAATAAAGATATAAGGATTTATGTTAATGATCTTGTATTCTTAATTCAGATGGTTGAGGAACACGAGGGAGAATTCTTTCAAAGAGGGTGGTGATATCATGATTCAAATACTTCATTGGATTTGGACGCTTTGAAAGATAAAACTTCATATTATGGTGAGAAGGGTTGTGATCTAATGGCAAGCAGGGCAACAAAAAAAGTAGTGACAAAAAATAGTATGGAGAGCACGGAGAAGGGGGACATCGGGTGGTTATCAGGGACAAAATTTACATGATTCCATGTCAGATATTATACAAAATCAAGGAGAGTTTGATGTGACATATTTTAGGTTTATATTTATAGTTTTATTTTGGTTTATAAACACTTTTAATATGTTTTGTTTTTAAAATTTTTACCATTTTCTACTTATTGGAATAAATTGGACCTATTATAAATAAATGTTTTAATTTCATATTTTTCAGTAATTCTGACCTCTGATTACTCTTTAGGTCATAACTTTTTCTACAGATATAATTTTTGGCTGATTCTAATTGCATTGAATTCTATACATCTAGGGCTTAAAAATGCAAATATTGATTGTTAGATTTGGATTTGATTTCAATTTTTTATGATTTTTTTAAGTTGAGGTAGATTTTCTGAATATTATTGCGAGATTGCATTTAGACCCATTGTTATTAGATAATTGTATTTGAGCTTGTAGTTATAATTAAGGTCCAAATTTTGGCCATTTAGTTTATTCTAATTAGAGCATGTAAATAGACTAATAAGGTTCTTATTTAGAGAATGTGATAAAACACTTTGAGATTTTGAGACTTGGCCGAAATAAGAATCATTATTTTTACTTTTTCTTGAACTCTTTCATTTTTTTCTCATTCTTGCGTGGGTTAATTGCTTTGATAGAAGGCTAAACCTTTTGTTCAATCGCAGAATCTAAACGCTGTAATTCTGACTTGAGTTCTGCGCTAAATTGCTCTGAATTTGTTCTATTTTTCTCTCTAATATCAGAATTGTATATTGCAATTGTGATTAACTTTTCTGTTGTTAGAATTCAAATTAAGACTCGATTAATACTCTAATTTGATAATTAATGTGAATTAGGTTAAATGATTATTTGATTTAATTCGTAATTTTTTTTAATTAGGTTATTCAATTGAATTAATAATTGAATTAGGTGATTGTTCAAATACAGATTTAAATCTTTAGATACTGTGATAGCCAGAGTTACACGCATTTGGTATTCTGTGGATTGATGTTTCTTAATTCATTTTTACTCAATTTTATTCTATTCGTAATTCAATTTGATTAATTTGCAATTTTCAAAACCCCAAAAACCTTTTTTGCATTTTTTTAAAAAGAAAAATCTAAAATTGAATTTAAATGAGAATGTGTATCCGTGAATAGACCTAGGTTTGGCTCTATACTACAAAATCTTTAAAAAATTTAGTTGTTTTGATAGCGACTCAGCATCGTCTATCAAGTTTGAAAGTACAGAATCAAATTTCATAGAGAACGTAACAGATGCATTAATGAGAGAGAGTTCAAATTATAAAGTGAATATCAATAATGACTTGATTTTCAATTATAATGTAAATGTTGTGCGATTAGGTGATGATGCGTTTGAAAAGGAGGCTGACCGAGGTGGACCTTTGTTGGTCAAAACTTATGAGGAAATGAATTGGTAGGACATGGGAGCTAACGAAGGATTATGGCAACTGAATGTTGTTGATAAGGGAGCAATTAGAGGCAAGAATGTGACACAAAAAGAGTTCATTGACAATCTAATGGCTTGATTATTGAGCATTCTCATGGGTTAGACGAGACTAATCACGTATTGAGTTAAAGACTAGATTCTCTTCAATCCAATGTTGTTATTGAGGCAGTAGTGCAGGAAAGAATTAATGTTAAGAGTACACTTCGCAAGGTAAGGAGGAAGAAAGAATCAAAGCTTCAGCCAAATGCTTAAAATATGTATGTTGGAAGCTGCTCAGTAGGGCCTTTAGAAAAATCGATTGTGAATTAGATTAATGATCCTTGACATGTATTGTTAATTCCCTTTAAAGTTGTAATGGGTTAGAGTATCATTCGTACTCTAAATTTGTCTTTAATAAAATGTTGATATTTAACAACAACAAAAAAAGAGTCGAGAATATATATATATATATATTGTTAAATTTTTTTCTCTAAATTTAAATAAATAGAAATTAAAGTACATTATTTCTTAATAAATTAAAAATATTTTAATGCATATTTATCTTAAATAAAAAATATATTCATTTAATGTTTATAAAAATATTTTTCTTTTGTTTAAAAAATTAATGTTTTTATTCTTCCACATACAATTTTTTCCCAATTTTTTCTTGTTATAAATTTTTTTGGTAATTAATTAATAAAAAATTAAATTTAAAAAGATGAAAATACACACACAAAAACATCTATACGAGACAAATGAAAAGTTAATAAAAGAAATTTAATGAAGTATAAAAATGAAATAATATTAAAAAAATGTGCCAATTTTTGGAAAACGTTTATATTATTGATAAATATATAGAAATAGATTATAAAAAAAAGTTAAAAATTATAATTTATACTATGTATTGTACACAAACATTAATTAAAAAAATAATCTGGTTCTTTAAAAATAGAAATGCATTTTGATTTTTTAAAATATAAATATATAATTATTAATTTTTCAATAACAGCTAAAATTGTTATATATAATTAAAATTTACTCTATTAAAATTTTAATTAAAGATTATAATTCTTAGATTTCTTCTTTGTAGTGCACCTTTTACTTTAGTCAAATTAACTAAAGAAAATGTAGAGGATGGATTCTTGCTCAAAATTTTAGTCAACATATAATCTTATTTTTGGTATATATAATATCAAAGTTCAACATCCTTAATTTTGCTATTATCCCTGCCAAATTTACAAGAATTAAACACAACGAAGAATAAAAATGGAAGTTGGATTTTTTTTATAGTAGTTGATGTGACTAACACTTCAAAATAAAAACATATTATTAGTTTTCATGTATTTTACTTCAAGATGAGTATTTAACAATGACGATTATCCAATATAAAAATCATCAATCATGATATTATCTTTGATACTGGACTCTATTCTTGAATCATCTCTTTTGGAAATTCAACATCTTAACGGATACAACAAAGGAACCAAAGAAGAGAATGATGAAACAAATAAGCACAATAACTGAAAGCATCACTGATGACATTCCATTAATTGTAGTAT